CGAGCATGTTTGGTGTGACGGGGATTCGAACCCGCGACCCACAGAGTTCGCATATGATACTCAACGATTACGAAATAGTAGAATAAATGAAAGATAAATATGCCGTTAAAATTAACAGTTTTACTGTTTTATCACGTTATTTACTGAAGTTTTAATTTTAACAATAAAGATGTGAGCTTGAAAGCGTTTTCACAAGTGATAGAACTAAAAAATAAAATGTGTGTTTAGTGAGTATAATATTTAGGAACAATCAGTCCTTGTCAAGTATTATATTAACCCTTAAATTACCAGCACAATCAGTGGGGGTCCACATAAAGTATCGTGTTAATGTTTTTTGCCTAGCTGTTACTGACTTTTTTTTTTCTTCCGTGAAATAATTCATTTTTCTCATGTAAAATGTATAGAGGAACCCGCTGTAATAAGTGTGAATAACAGCAATAATGATAGTACTTTTGGTTAACTTGTTTCTGAGTGACTCATTTACTATTGAGGGCTCGGTATTCAACAATGTCATGGTTCCACAAGCAAACTGTTGCTTAAAAAAACGTGAAAAATTATGTTAAGACAGATATTTCCATGGAAACCTGCATTAAATTTCGTTGTGCTCGTGACGAAGGTGATCATATTAGGTGCTACCGCAACTGTGATGATTTCTTTTCGAACTATATCTATCTGGTTCGTGACGAAGGTGATCATATTAGGTGCTACCGCAACTGTGATGATTTCTTTTCGAACTATATCAATCTGATGCTTAATTGGCCCGGCATGGCCAAGTGGTTAGGGCACTCGACTCGCAATCTGAGGGTCGCGGGTTAGAATCCCCGTCACACCAAACATGCTCGCCCTTTCAGCCGTGGGAGCGTTATAATGTGACGGTCAATCCCACTATTCGTTAGTAAAAGAGTAGCCCAAGAGTTGGCGGTGGGTGGTGATGACTAGCTGCCTTCCCTCTAGTCTTACACTGCTAAATTATGGACGGCTAGCGCAGATAGCCCTCGTATAGCTTTGCCCGAAATTCAAAACCAAACTGATGCTTAATCAGCGGTGATGCCGACGGGGCAAACTTGAGTATTGTTCGTTTGTTTTAGTTAAGCACAAAGCTACACAATGGGCTATCTGTGCTCTGCCCACGACGGGTATCGAAACCTGGTTCTTAGCGTTGTAAGTCCGCAGACAAACCACCGTGCCACTGGGGGGGGGGGCAAAAAATATGAGAAATCAGACATAAACTCACAGAAAAAGTTTAATTACAAATCAGTTTAACCCAACACTAAATGTTATCACACATCAAAGCTCATAGCTTTAAAGTATAACTAATTTTTTCTAACAACAAACTCGTGTCTCAGGTTTAAAAGCCAACAATTCAAACAATTCTTTTATTTCAGAAAGTTTTATTTTATAGCTCAATGTTTTACTTACATACTTTTATCAAGAGACTACATAAGAGTTTTGTTGTTGTTAAGCGCAAAGCTGCACAATGGGTGGGTGGTGCTATGTATACTGCAAGGATCGAACCAAGGATTTTAGCGTTATGATCCCTCACATAGATTATGGCTTCAAAGTTTGTTCTTTTTTATACGACTTGCGTGAGTGTGAGATGATGACGTCAAATAACTTAGACGAATGAAATATTGTTCAACAAGTAATACAGAAAAACAAAAACACCTAGAAAGATCACAGTCTACAGTTGTACCAGAATTATTACTTTATTTAACGGTATCTTGATAAAGTTACATAACCGAAACTTACAGATCCCGAAGAAGAAGAAAAAAGGCTGTACTTAATCTTTTAATACATCCAAAGATCTCCAGTCATTACTACGTGTTCAGAAAACCAACACGAGCTTATTTGAATTTCATTGTCTAAGCCTTAATCAGCATAGCTCTATAAGTGTATAAGCAAACATTTTTTCAAAGAAGAAAATGGGTATTGAAGGTTCTTTATCAGAAAACATATATATTTTTTTAGTTTAGCTTTCTTGAAAATAAGTAGATAAAGTTATTATAACTAAGTCTATATGCACAATTGTATATTGTACCATTTATTAAGACGACATTTTTACAACAATATCACGCTAAAACCATGAAACCCATTATTAGCGCGATGAGCTTTCATATCTACACTTGAAATGCAATAAAATATTCCTAACAGAAGGCTGTGATCTTGGAGGTTTCCAAAGATATTTTTTCATAAATAGACTGATTACTAGCTTCTTGCCAACCTTCGAAACTTAATTAACCTTCCAAGAGGACTTCAACACAGTAACGTGCTGTGGAGGGAGCAGCAGTACCCCTCTGTCACTCTTCTTTAATTCAATAAAAAGGGTGGTTAAAAACCGTGAACAAACTTACCGCTCTTCGACATGCCAACCCTGAGGCATTTTTTGAGACGACAGCTCTTGCAGGACGTGCGGTTCTTCTTGTTGATGACGCACTGGTTGTTGTTTTTACAATCTCCCAATGCCGTCAAGTTGTTGTAGGTTCGTCCAAAAAAAGACTGGAAATAGAGTCAACAATGAACCGTTGATCTGGAGTTAAATGTATAGAAAGTAACCTGTTATTGATATCAAAAAAAGTGTTAGAGCTTTTCATGTGAAACAAAATGATAAAGAGAAGTTCAAATATCACTAGAAGAAAGAAACAAAGGACTTGGTGAGAATCAATCAACATTTAAACACCAAGTTATGCTCCCCATAGGCACATAGTTAAATCTGCGGACTTAAAACGTTAAAAATCGGGTTTCGATACCCGTGGTGATCACAACACAGGTAGCCCATTGTGTAGCTTTGTGCTTAACTACAAACAAACCTGGACTGATATAAATTGAAACGGTACACAACAATAACAAACCCTGATTGACATAAAATGAAACGGAAGGAATTTAAAAAAAAATACTAGAAATTACTGAAATATGTCAAACAGAAGCAGACATAATATGATCAGGTATTATCTGTGTGCCGACGTTGGGGTTTTGGTAATGTATAAAAATAAATACCAACCAGTCATGTTTTCTAGCGATCATGTTCTGTTTCATGTTTAGGTTTAGTGTTCAAAGCATGTTTGTACCTGAGTCTACCTATTTTACTTAATAGCCACTAGGAGACTGCGGAAGGCTAGGACAGTTTGTTTGTTTGTAATTAAGCACAAAGCTACACAATGGGCTATCTGTGCTCTGCCCACCACGGGTATCGAAACCCGGATTCTAGCATTATAAGTCCGCAGACATACCGCTGTGCCATCGGGGGCGGCTAGGACAGGGTGGTACAGAACCTCGTTTTAACTAAATTATTTGAACGTTTTAGAGTCACGGTCTTGTTTATCATTTGCCTGCTAACTCTTTTGTTTCCTATTCTCCTAGCAAACTCCATCATCATCACTATACTTCCCAACATTCCTTGCCTGTGCCCCACTTTTTTGTTCTTTTACATATACGAGATCACGAGCGCAATGTATATTATAAGTATCTCATCACAGCCAGATGGATATAGATTCTCGTTCTATTTTTTGCTCGTAATACTCTAAGCCTATTTTCATTGTACAGCGTTGCTGTCAATTATCAGTTAACTGACAACAGCACCACCTTCTAACGCAATAAACAACATAATATTGTAGGCTATTCCCACTTCAGACAATGCTTATACCGGAAACAAATTAATTTTATGTCTAGATACATCTTTTACAGACGGTTTAATTCGAGTCTTGTTTCTTATCGAAAGGAGAAATCACAGAATGATGGCACCTTTGTAATAGATGATACTTAACGTAATAGATGACTTAGTGAACACCCACGATAAAAAGTCGAGATTTGTAGTAATAATGGCATATTATCAGGAAACTTCTGCATCAAATCAACAGGATGGTCTTCTGCTAAGGAACTGACTTAACAAGAAAATTCTTTAGACCTTTTTTTTTTTTTTGTCAGGCAGTCATATTGAAAACATCACGTTTTCCGTGATGCAACGATTTATAACAATTACACACTCTATCTACATTTATAATCTCCTGTTAGTCTTAAACGTTACTCGAAATTACATTATGGTGTGAAAACCGTAATCCACAATAGCAGGCATAAATTTTCACGTTTTTTCATGAGAGATAAATGAAAATCAAGTTCAGAATCTCTAAAATACAGAGATATGAAGAAAACAAACACTTGGGATAAACAAGTTAGAAAACCCCTTTTAAACTATCAAGCGTCCACCTTTGGATCAACAATAAGTCTCCGGATTTACAATACTAAAATCCAAGGTTCGATTCTCCACGGAGGACAAAGTGTATATAGCTTATTTTGTATCTTTACACTAATATACAACCAACCCAACAACAATAACTATCAAGCTCGCTCAAAAGACTTCAAACAATGATCGCTGAACACAACAAACTCCAAAACCATGCCGTTACTAGTTTTTATTATGTAACATAGATGACCCCCCCAAAGCAAATAAACAACGTCAACAAAAAAGTAAGTAAAAGCTACACGTGTCGAAAGTTTTTGGGGTGGTGTCACACGGAAGTGTAAAATAGGTTTGTTTCTAAATTGTTGCGCAGAGATACATCAAGGACTATCCGCGAATAGCCGTCCATCATTTAAAACTGACAGATTAGAGCCAACAGTGCCCATTGTTGATTTTGAATTGATTTTGTCTGATCGAATAGTAGGAGTTGATCATCTATTTTATGGCGCACCCACGGCCCCATAGAGTGGAGGCACGTTATTTGCGGCAAGGGGCCATGAGCACGTGAACCTTTACTTCTTAGGTTCATAGTTTAGAAACGCTAACTACTAGGCTACGCTCTGCTCCGAAGGATAAAAAATATTATTATCTTACTAAACCACAAACAGTAAACCTTTGTTGAATTATTTTTATTATGTGATGCCAGTGAGATATATTTAACAAATTTATTAATAGAAATATATCATAATACTCAAAAAAAAAAAAAACTATACAGAATGAAATATATCACCCTCGAAATATCGATGTAACGTGTGAATGTTGGAAATTTTGTGGTTGGCTTGTTTAAAATATTATCATTTTCTATGTATTTAATTTGATGCGATGAATTTGCTTGTGAAATTTATTGCTAGACCATTTTCCACAAATCACATTTCAAGTATAACAAAGTACTTAAAGCTTATAACTTTTATAGATTCAGAATTACTGAATACAATATTTAAATGTTTCACTTTTTTACATTGCCGTTTACTTGATTGAAAATTCAATTTTCCATGCTGTAAATTAATGTATATCAACAAAAACAGTACAAATTCGGAACGAAAAATAACTAATTTCAATCCTTCACCTTTAAGCCCTATTATATAATGCATACGTACACAAATTAAGGATAACGAGTTTTAATACCAGCAATCAACACAACAAAAAAGCATTACAATATTACCCGTAAGAAATTACTTTCCGAACATAATATATAGAACGATCACTATTTAGTATGCCCCTTTCTGGAATGAATTAAATTACTACATCAATCAGGCAAGGACGATAATTTTTTTTAAAAACATAAACTGGTATTTCCTTCCATTTTTACTGCACAGACTTCTAAAGTTATCATGGATTAACTAGCTTCTCTTTGGTAACAATATTTTCCTGCTTTAGTGTCATGAAAATTCAAGTGAATTAACATCAGGACATTGGGTGGCCATCTTATAATTCCTATGTCATCAGCTCTTTCCTCTTTGACGTCTGGCACATGGCTTGATGGTTAGGGCACTCCATTCACAATCTGCTGGTCATGGGATCGAAACCTGACTACGAAAACGTTCACCCTTTCAACTGTGGGGGTGTTATCATATTAAATTCAATCTCACTATTCATTGATAAAGAGTAGTACAAGATTTGGCGGTGGGTGATTCTAGCCGGTTACTTTTTATCTGGTTGGCGACAGACAACCTTGGTATCGTTACATTAAGCAATGAAACCTACCTTCTTCTCCAAAAATATTTTATTCAGTGGGTTTTATATTATTATCCTGCTGAAACTCAAAGCAAGAGCCAACTAGATATAGTCTACTGAGTACAGTGGCGTAACTACAAACGATGGCTCCCGACAGCATAAAAAGTGATTGGGTCCCCTACATTTCTTTTCGTATAACTGTAGTTACGCTTCTGGCTGTTTCGGGCCCCCTTTTGGCTTGCCCCCCTCGCAATTGCGGGGCTGCGAGGGCATACTTATGTAACTGACTAAGTATCACGTGACAAAACAGAAACTACGACGTCTATTTCAAAATACGAAGAATTTTTACAGCATCTTCCAGTCCTGCAGCAATTCATGTTTCGGTGTTTTTCCAGCATTTTCTTATAGTTATACCTTCACCCACAAACTTTTCCATGTTTTCAAAAACTCCGTATTTGTTTTCTCACTTCATAGTGCATTATTTCATTCGTTCTCCCAATTCTTGTCATTTTCGAGAAGTTTAACTGCTTGCTGACCACACATGTTCAAATGCGAAATATTGGGCTTTTGCTAGCAATTTTTTCATGTAGAATACTTTGTCTCAACTATCTTGAAACAGTTGTAATAATAAATCTAATTTCATACACATCCGGTGCTTTTACATTTATTACTGAGGATGTTTTGAATCGTTTAATGTTGATGTTCTTTCAGTTGCGGTATTTTTTTTTTGTCTAGATGCTCGTATTCGATGCCTCATCCTCATATTAGAGTTTAAACTCCCAGTTGCACCAATGTGCTTTCATATTCTTTGAGCCTCGCCTTTGATACACTCGATAATTGAGCAGAGGATATTCAATGTAGATTTTTCGTTCATTTTGTGTAACCATAATTCATTTTCGCCTTTCACTGTTTAATTCTAATTGATTTTTCTTATTTTTTTTGTCAATTGTAGGCATGTTGAAAGTTTAAATCTCTTTGGGTGATGTTATCATTTCACTGGTCGTTCATTGAAATTAACTCAATTGAAATAAGTGAAAAATAAATGTACCATCACGAAAACATGAATCAAGCCCACTCAATCACACTGATGGCGACCCGCATATAACGTGAAATTAAGGACAACACATAGGTAGTTTCCTGTCCATAGAAGATTCCTGAGAATTAGTAACCACAATCTTAATCCTGCCTACAATCATATTAAGGACAACACATGGGTAGTTTCCTGTCCATAGAAGATTCCTGAGAATTAGTAACCACAATCTTAATCCTGCCTACAATCATATTAAGGACAACACATGGGTAGTTTCCTGTCCATAGAAGATTCCTGAGAATTAGTAACCACAATCTTAATCCTGCCTACAATCATATTAAGGACAACACATGGGTA